TTATCGCAAACTGGGAATCGAAAATGGCGTTTGACTGATTCATTGACAAAAAATTTTCTTTCTGAAATAAGCAAGCTAAATAGTAGTTTTTCATTGTTAGGCGTATATGCATATCCCAGTTACTCTGCTGTAACCTTCGAAGAAGAAGCACACTATGGGTAAGTTGCCAGAAAAATGAAAAGCATTTTACCAGACGACATAAAATTGAATTCAACTTACTTTTAGACGTACAGTATTTTGTCGCTATTTTGATGAACATAGAATTGAGCTCAATTTGCCCGTTGAATCATTGGTGTTTCCTGAATATGTCGTTCACTGCTGTAAACATTCTGAAGCTGTCTACATGAGTATTACATACAGAAGATATGAGAAAGTGAACTTCCAAGTGCCAATTATGGACAGAACAGGAATGAGCATGCTTTCCGCCATCCGAGGGAGTAACTATCACATGTAAATTTTTTAGTTGAAGAATACAAATTATCACTATGCCTCTCACCAATTTTTGGCTCGGAAACTAAGTGGTTGTTGTTGGTTGAAATGTTCGAGCATTACAAATTGCAAGGAGTTGAACATTTCTATCTTTACATTCAGTCTATCGACGATTATTCTCGAAAGATGAGTTTTTTCCTATAGCACTACCTACGCTTTAGATCTAGCGAGTTTAGCTTGTCAATGATTATGTGGATACTGGAGAAGCTGAAACTGTTCTCCTTAGTAATAGGCCCGATAAAAGATGGTTACAACTTCTTGGAATACAGGTATGCCCATTCAACAAAAACTTAGGCAGGCACTGGCTGTGTTCCACCGTAATCGACATCAAACTGAACACAGTTGACGTACGATAGACAAGTTGGCCCGTTGACTGTGTTAGTTTAACATGTCAAATCGGATAAAGCATAGTTGAGATATGCAGTTCGATTGCTTATGACACGTTATACAAACATGTCCAACTGAGCGAAACTGTCATGTGTGTAATGCACCAGAAGCCATCAATCTGACGCTGAACATTTCAAAAATGCGACTTTATCCGCCTTAATTATTGATTTCTTGCCAACTTCGATGGAGATTGAGCATGTAAACGGTTGATAGATTAGAGTTAATAGGTTGTTACATTCATGGTTGATATTCCGTAGAACCCTTCTAGGTATTTTAGGAATGCCTTCAACGCAGTCGATATCACTCTCGTTTTTCGATATTTGCTGATTTAGACGAGAGGATCTTGCCGCGGGGGAAAGTGACGCTTTTTGATTATATCCCGTAAATGAATGTACACTTTTAATTAGGCTCCGTAAATAGAATAATAGTAATAA